AACTTTCGCTATGCCTACGTCCTCAGACACAAAGTTTCAGGAAGAAAATTAACTCGCAGATCAGAAGAACTACGAATCTAAAACTAGGATGTTCTGTGGCCATATGCAATCTGAAGATTTCAAATTCAGTTCCCACACATGCCAAAGTCTCAGTTATGGACACGTTGAGTTTTCGACGGGAATTCTCCAAACTCGGGAACCAGGTAGAACAGAAAGTTAAAATTCTACGCGAATATTTTCTGCTCAAGCGCAACTCCAAAAATTTTAGATCTACGTACGTCCAGGCCTCATGTGCGGATACGTGAAAGATTCAGCCTGCTAGAACAATCTGACGGTTTCTGTACATATCAAACAGCAAAACAGTGTATTTCTAAAAGCAAGGATTTGCTGGACAGAATTGCAAGAAATGCATAGTTACACCAGTTACCCGTGGCGCCGCTATTTATTTGGAAATTGAGTTGTTACTTCCGGAATCAACTGACCTCCACTTTTCAGTTTTTCAAGCATAGAGTCTAGTAGATTGCTCACTTCAGCGCCATTTTTCGCACTTTTCATAAAATTTTTGAAGCAAATCGCCAAAGCTGCTTTTAGCGTTTCACAGTGATCATCGATCCCCGCTTTTACCAAAACTTGAAACGCCTTTGATGTATCGCTGCCCATCAGACTTTTCAGTTCCGGGAAGGCTGAAAAAGAAGCTGAAAACGTACACAAAAAGCTCAGACCTTACAGCCTATGGACCTGGTAGCACTCTTCAAAGGCTTGCTCTTAAAATTTCAAGAATTGTTCTCGATCATACCTTGTTTTTTTACGAAATGATTTTGTAAAACGCCGACGCTCAGTAATTTAAGAACCTTCGATATTAGACGACAGCTCAGAAGCTGGTCGAAATCCGCAAAGTAGCTCGAATCGAGTAAGTGCATAAGCAAGTTCCGGCTTATGGTTTCGATCGGGGTAGTGCTCCGGATCGCGATCGTTCAGCCGTGCTGCTTGCTCCTAAAAAATGCTTCTGCAAGGAAAAAGAAGCAACAGTAACAATCCATTCTACGACTTCAAAAAGTTCCATTAATGGACCAAAATGATCCAAGTCCTGAGCTGAGTCCGGTCGACAATCAGCCAGATATAACATTTTTATGCGCGTTTTACTGCAGCAGAAGTGCAAAGCCCATACTGCCGAGACTCTGCGCAGGGTTTTTGACTCAGCAACAAAAAAGAAGCTGAGATCCTGAGATGATGGTTGCAATCAGTGTACAGCTCCGCAAGTTTAAATTTATTTTCCGTGTACGCCTAAGTTTCAGCTACAGACGCATGAAAGTTTTAGCAGGGACTTCTCGGGGAACCAGAGGAAACAGGAAGTTGAAATTTTGAAGGGATTTCCTGTCCATGCTTCCTGTCCATGTGCGTTGTTGGAAAGTTAAATATAGCTCTTACACATGTCTCACATACGAATAAGTGAAAACTTAGGTGGGAACTATTGGCATCGTTAGCTCCATTGAACAGAGCTGCTTAAAACGCTAAAAACACTGAACAGAACTGCTTAACCGCGCCGACTATCTCGTGCGAGTCAATATTTATATGAAAAACAGGAAAGAGCTCGAAATTTTCCATCCATGATAATGCGCTTTCATTACAAATTTTCTGTTCAGCTGATTACCTAACATTATCACCCGATAACGTTCCGACACAAAATACTGTTCGGTGTTTCTGTCTCGTCTCGCAGTCTGTCCAGCCTTCCATGTGTTTACGACGACTTTCGCATGCAGATCTTGGGTAAATAGTTTCACAGGATTTTTAAAACGAGCAGTGAAATGAACCTTCGTTGGATGCACTTGTACAGACAAATTGTGCTGTATACTCATTAATTTCATGATAAACGGCAGATGTTTTTCGGTCGCAATTCGCCGTTGATAAGGACTCTCATCACA